ACATTCCTCCAAAAAAAACGAACGTTAAAAATTACCATTTTGTTTCATCTATGATAACGTTAATTTTTTTAAGTGTTGTGTGTGAACATTATATCAAATGATCTAATCTAATCTTAAGTATATCTTTAATGTTTTTAACGAATACTCGTGCAATAAAGTTTTAAATCTGCTACCTATGTTCATTCAAGAGTTCTGGCATTTTCGTGCTGAACGCGTGAGTTTGTATGGATTGCGCTTGTTGGAGTTTAGATGTTTAGCTTTTGTGGTGCAATTTCAGCGTGGCTCACTTGTGAAGATTCGTAAGGCATTGTTTTTCATAACAGCGTCAATTTGATATTTGATTTTCAATGGATATTTTAAGAAATCCGAAATTGATTCATTCGGTTATTAACTGATTCTTAAAAAACTCTACATATAATAATAATATAATAACAGTGATTGTATATTCCGAGTTGGACAGAAAGGAGAGTGCATTGAAATTTGTTACTGATTCCCTCTCAATTTTTTCGGGTCATTCCTCTTTCCATTCTAAATTATTATTTATAACGTTTTCTGTTCTAAAATTTTTTTTCCCTTTTTTTTCTCCTCTTTTTTGCCATTCCATTTTTTCTATTCCTCAAAATGTTGAACAAAAAGATCAAAATTATCAATTTTTATTCCAAATACAACATTTACTTTTCAATAATGTTTAAAAAAAAGTTTGTCCACGTTTCTCGAGACAGTTTCGTTCTTTTTAGCGATAAGACACGGTCGATTTTCTTTTTAGCCATTTTGATTTTTCACACCAGCGGTTATAAAACTATAGTGCCGCAAACTTTTTAATACCATCCCCCGTGGTGTGGCGATCCCTGACTGAAAAATTATTTTTTGCTCTTAGGCTTGCAAATACAATTACACAAAATACAATATAGCATAAAGTTGAGTAATTTTGCTATTCATACACTGCTAGTTTGCAGAAAGTTCTATTATTATAATTGAAAACTGTATACAAATAAAATCTATATTTAATCACTACACAATATGTATTTTGAAATTTTCAAATTATAGACATTATTAAATATCAATAATTTTGCATTTATTTTTTTTTCTATACAATACAAAATGCTGCATGGCTAGCAGTCGTAATCAAGAGTGTACTAAACAAAAACGAAATTGTTGCGATAGTATGGACACAAAAACTCATGTCACTGCAATGGTAAAAGGTTGTTTTTGTTTCACCAGAACAAAGGTCACCTTCCGCATCGAGTTAACATCGAGTCCAGTTTTGTATTTAACTGACAGAACAAGTTGCTAATTAAAACATTGTCAGAAATGGAAGAAAAAAGCGCAAAATAACCTAAGATATTACAAGACACAGCTGCAATATACATACCTATTAAGACTCGTCCCGAAATTTGTGAGACTGAAATATAGTAATCGATTAATCAAACTTTGCAATTTTTATAGTGCCACGTTTTTCAATGTTTTACAAGAGAAAAAGTTGGAAGAGATACTGGTCAGAAAAGGAAGAACATTTTATCGTAGTAAGTATTATGTCAACGTCACACAATGAGAAATTGACTATACAGTTCGTTTAGACTGAATGGATTTCATTAAAAAAATGTACGAGATGCGCTCTTAAAATATCATTATCTATTAAATCGAACAAAAACCACTATTAAAAATTCAGTAAATATTGATTGAAGATTTTACTTTTGAATGGTTTTTTCTGAATGGAAGTACGGTTGATGATGAGCGCCACGGTGAAGATGCACAGGAGCACAACTGCCACACCAGCGTAAATTCTTATCAACAGAGCATCCAGGCCAATTGTATGAACCTTCAACTCTTCATTAATCGTTAATTATTACTGTTAGTAGTGGAATAGTAAAAGTAGTAGTTGTAAAAATATTAGGTGCAAATAAGTTATAACTGTAAGTAGTAGAAGTCGTAATATTAGTGGTAGTAGTGGTAATGTAGTAGTAATAGAAGTAGGAGTAGTAGTAGTCGTAGTTAGTAGTAGTAGTAGTAGCAGTAGTGGAGTAGTAGTAGTAGAAGTAATAAAAAATATTATATTGTAAAAATTAGAATTTTACTCCGACAAGAAACACATTTTCTTTGGTGTTCTTCAGCTGAATAAAAAAAATATCATTTTTTATTATAATAATAGGACGTATTGTAACCTTTATTCGATTGTGACTATCTAAAATATTGTTGATTTAATTCTGTTTATTGTTAAAATGACAGTGTTAATGAAAAGAACGGAATATAAATCAATGACATTGGCTCGATGTAAATATATTTATTATTCCCTACCCGAATTATTATACACTGTTATTAATCCTGACCAATGAGAATGGCTTGTTTCTCCTGTTGATATAACGTTTGACGCGTCACATCTCACTGAATATCGTCCTTTGAAATGATTAGTAATTTCAAAATGATTTTATTATTTTAAAATAAAACATTCAAATTACGATTTTAACATAAACTTAGAATAATGAGATTTTTATTTACAGAAGACAACCTCATAATTGGAAATGTTAAACAATAAAAACTATGCCTGAGACAATAAACTTGTAAATTTAATCACAAATTTATCGATTGGAAAAGCGCTTAACTTTGAAAATGGAAGCATTCATTGATAACAATATATCCAATCCAAATGATCTTCAAAAGTATTGGTATCGATACTCGGCTGATGTAAACAATATTAAAAAGTATCGTCGATTCGATATATAGATAATACAACCATGGTTTTATGCTTTAATCAGGCAATTTAGTTTTTGTTTCATTTTTCATTTTACAATTTGACCGTTACTAAGAGCGTGCAACATAGCATGCCCCTCGCACAATAAATAAAATGAGGAAACCATGCCAGTAATCATTGCTACGGTTGACAATTCGTTTAATTCATATTAAAAATCAAATGATAGTTCTATCGGAATGATATTATAACAGTTAATTTTCACAATTTGTCATGTTAATTATTATTTATTCTTCGCCATTAACACCGACAACTAACCAATCCTTAGAAATTGTATTTCATTGTATTTAATTATTATTTATTCTTCGCCATTAACACCGACAACTAACCAATCCTTAGAAATTGTATTTCATATTTATTGGTGCATTTCTCAAGCATGTTCTTGCCGCTGATTTTGTGATCGCCAACGTGAATGACTGTCCACTTGTAAGAAACTGTGGGATCTCCATCGGACGTGCATATAACAGACTCGCAGATGCCCACTTTAACTGGATGCACTTTTACATTTGTGACCGGTCCTGTTTTGTCATTTGTTCACTTTCACATATGACTGCATTTCTATACCGCACTTGATAAAAACAAAAATGAAACACTTAAGAACTTGCCAATGTCTTCCATGAAATAAAATTTTGGAGAAGTGCTGCCAGTGACAACTTTTAAAGAGTCGTTTATGGTAATTAAATGGGATACTTCGTAAGAGAAATAGTTCTTTGAAAAACTTCGCTTGCTGCTGAAGTGGTAGTTTATCTGTAAACATGTTTATGTTCGTAATAATAAATTAATAATGAGTAAGAAAATGCGTGTAAATAATATCACATCACACATGCATGAACTGCGCATTTGAGCTTATTTGCGAAGTAAAAATAATTTTTTAAAGAAAATTTCTTGCTGTCGTTGAAAAACGCTGATTACCACAGATTTTCAAAGTTGATAATTAAATGGCGAGTTTTTTCATGATAGTTGTTCTTCCTAGTTTTTACTTGGCAAGTTGCTCACCGTATTGTTTCATTCGGAACAATATTTAATTACCGCTTCACAGATCATTTTAAATAGAATATAGCAAAGAGTTAATTTTTCAATTTATACAAAGAGAAGAAAAGTTTAAAATCTGTTTAAGTTTAAAAGTTTAAGTTTTAAAGTTTACTCTGGTTAATTTGTCCTTAGTGAGAGAACTTCGATTGATCATTTCGTCAGTGACAATCCTGTCATTTGATTTTATGTAAACGTGGATTCGTAGTGTGATGTTCAACTCGCCAGGATAATATGAAAATATGCATTGAACGTCAAACAAATCTTTATCAAGAGAATATTTCGTCGTGCAATCACTCCTTTCTGATTTAAAAATTGTTCAAAATTATCACAAAAGAAATATAAAATAGACGTGTCAACCAATTAGCTGAAAACAAACGTACTAGTCATTATTGCGTATATATTCAAATTTTTATCTGAGCAATATAAGTTAACTGTTCCAAAATCTTTCCATACAATCATTGTGTCCACTTGTTTCAGCTGGTTGTGTCTGTTCATCCAGTTGCAGCGTGGGACTTCCAACAAATTTCCGAACTCCATCAAATACACTTCCTGGCTAACTAGCAGACGATTAAGTTAAAATTATTCACTGCTTATATATATATATATATATATATATATATATATATATATATATATATATATATATATATATATATATTCACTGCATATAGATATATATATATATAATATATAAATGCAATATACTTGCAGAATACTCACAGACACATAACACAAAACAAAAACTATACCAAAAACAGGCAAAATGTAAGCAATGGTTATGAATAAATGTTTAAATTCCGGAGGATTCATTTTGAAACGTATACAATAAATATTTACAAGTTCAGTTTGAAACGTTTAAATTTTTACGTGACGTTCCAACGGTTCCAATTGAATAATAAACACGTACGCGCAAAATGCAGACAGTCACGTACACTCTCACGCACACTCACACTTACACACACATATATACATATAGTTATATTATTTTATACATAGAAGGAATGAAATATATAGATTGTCAGTGTTGGAATAAATTTCTCACACAATTCTATTGTGCTTAATATAATTTTCTAAATATTTGTAAATATTCGATAACTATGAAGGTGTTTATAAATGCTACATATGTATAAGCATAATTTAACAGTAATTTTTAAGAGCAACATATCCCAATTTTCTGACATTGATTTATGATAACAATTGCGGATCTAGAAAACTTGACGGGGATGGAGCAAAGTTTAGCGGGGAGGGCAAAAACTGAAAATGCTTGGCTTATAGTGCAATTTTCTTATTTAAAACAACTGTGTATTTACATATAAAAAGTAAAGTAAAATTATACAATATACGTCGGCTAATTTTCAAAATGGTTGAGTGCTGACAATGGGGGACCGTGGCCTTCATGGTTTTTTTCGAAATCCGCCATTAAAAAACGAAAAATGCTAACAAGACAGCGATCATTAAAAATAAATTTTACAAGTGGATATGGTCGTACATGACGGTTACATCAGAGAGGCATTCAAAGCATGTATCCGCGAATAAATGCGTTAACTAACTATTAAATATAATTATACGTTAACTAATTAACTAATTATTAGTTATGTTTATACAATAATCAGATAATTAAGTAATTGATGCCTGCAAATGCTGTGCATCAATTATCTTGTTTGTTATCTATGCGATCTCCTAGCAACGGACGTTCTGATTCTATGTAAACAATCTGAGATGTCCGATCCAATACATGTAATTAATAATACATAAGTTTATTGAAAAATTACAAAATTTTATTTCGTTTTATCAGGTTTAAAAAATTATGTTTAATTTGCTTTTAATAAAATAACAATATGGAAACTGAAATTGAAGAGCACATTTCACAAAAATATGAAATTAAAAAACGTCTTGGCAAAGGGGTTGGTAGCTTTTTTCTTAGCTAATTTCGAAAATTTTTAACTATGATTTTTAAAAATTTTAATTATTATTATTTATATTATTGTTGTTATTATAACTTACAAAGTAATAAAACAACAAAATTCGTTTTAAAATCAAGGTTATTGGAATTGAATTAAAATTGAATTAATTTTAATTAAAATTAATTATTAATTAAATGAACAAATGAAACATCACTTCACTGATCACATCATGCATGCAATAAAAAATGAAACTCATTCAAAAATTGGAAATTTTTTTCAAAACTAAGTGCTGATTGCATCCATCAGTAGGAAGTGGTGATTCATTATAATAATTTATGTTAAATTATTTTTCAATTTTTTTCTTGAATAAATGTTACCCATTTTAAAGAAAATTATTGCAATCACATTACTTCAATATAATGTGTTATTGTTTTTACTTATTATTACAGGCTTATGGGATTGTCTGGAAAGTAGCTGACAAAAAGACAAGAAAAATTTTGGCACTGAAGAAAATATTTGATGCATTTAGAAATCGAACTGACGCCCAGAGAACATTTCGAGAGATAATGTTCCTCATGGCATTCGGAGATCATCCCAATATCATTAAATTGTATGATGTCCTAAAAGCTCACAACAACAAAGATATCTATCTGGTGTTTGAACACATGGGTTTGTATTTGTTTTACTTCACAATGAAGATAAAATGATTTTAAATTATTTATTTTAAATATGGTTTATGCATATAATTTTGTTTCAATGTTGTTTGCAAATCATAATGTTATGTTATGTTTCTTTAATACTTGTCCATTGAAAGAGACAGATTTGCATAATGTGATAAAGAAAGGTGATATATTGCAAGATATTCACGTGCGGTTTGTCATGTATCAACTCTTTAAAGCCTTGAAATACCTACATTCTGGAAATGTTATTCATCGAGATTTAAAAGTAAAATATGTGAAGATTTTTAAAAATAGATTTGTCAATACATCGTTGGCCTTATGGTTATACTAATCATATGTATTGTTGATTTTTGATTGCATCAGCCATCAAATGTCCTGCTGAACAGTGAATGTCAGGTTAAGATGTGTGATTTTGGACTCGCCCGATCGCTTTCGCAGATTCCGGTTGATGAGGAGGGCTCTCCTAACCTCACCGAGTACATCGCCACCAGATGGTACAGGGCGCCTGAAATATTGCTGGCATCCCACAGGTTATTTATGAGTTGTTATAAATCTTTCAAACTTTATCACTATAATTATTTTTTATTCAACTCAGTGATTTATGGTTGATCGATCTAGAAAAATTATTTTGTTTGATCTACTTTTAACCAAATCGTTCAAAATTTGTTAATTACTATCTTGTTGAGTTACGTGACTCTTAACCAAGAAGTTATTCAAGATGCAAACGCAGTATGAACATGAACAGGGAAGTTTTTTGTTGGATCGCATTGCAGGTACACGGCAGGCATCGACCAATGGAGCATGGGTTGCATTCTTGGGGAAATGTTTCTCGGAAAACCTCTTTTCCCTGGTTCTTCCACTCTCAATCAGCTGGAAAGAATCATGTCCATTATCGATAGACCATCGCAAAAAGGTTCTTTTAATTAGAAATATTCACTTATTGTGACAAGTTTAAACTAATGAAGATTTTATTGATACATTGTTGTAAAATTTTCAAGAGTATTAAGTATAAACTTTTTGAGACATTCATATGTATTGAATGTATTTTAGCTTATTTTAACAACTGAATAATTTTGTAACGTTTGAAGATATTGAAAGCATGCAGTCTGATTACGGAGCCACAGTCACTGAAGCCACTTCAATGTTCGTATACATTGTCTCATTTGCATCTGTACTCTCGTCTCATCTTCACATGTTTCAGATTTTATTATTTTAATTTTTTTTATAATTTTGTTTGTATTTAAAAATTAAATAACTTTGTGGCTGATAATGTTGTGTAGGGTAATTTTTTTTGTTATTCTTGTACGAATATTTTCATTCGAGAGTTTATTGTATCCGATGTCACTTCTTCAAAAGTGTTTACAGATCTCTTGAGGAACTGTTCCCTGCACGTGATGAAGATGGATTCCACATGCTGAAAAATCTCCTACAATTCAATCCAGATAAGAGGCTGACTTCAGATCAAGCTTTAAAGCATCCTTACGTATTCAAGTTAGAAAATAATTTGATTTGATTTTTTGTCGTTATAAATAAATTCACTTGTGCTTTTTGTAGTAAAAAAGAGCCATGACGAAGTTAAAAACGGGGCACGATATTTTTCCACTTTCGTGAGACAACGGCGTAGCATCCAATGATTCCTGATTACATGCATTGTGGCGTGTGAATGTAAAAACTGATGGAAGAAGAATGTTTCTTTCGTTGCATCCTTTTCGGGAAAAATGCTTCTCAATGTTTTTATTCGCTGTCTTGATTTTAGTTTTAACAGTAACGAGTTTTTTGAATCTTTCATCTTCCGCCACTCCCACGCTTTTTCGAACCGATGGGCGTCAGTTCACCGTCAGTTCAAATGTAGATGCAGACATCTTAGTGACATTTCTTGAAGGCCTTTGGAAGAAACACATGAACATTTTTAATAAATTTTTGTCGAATAACACAGTAGTTTCATCGTACTCGCACGACCTATTTCTACTTTTACTCAATATGTCAACATTTCTCGCATAAGATGAAGATCAAGTTACATATATTCCGTTTGCAGGTTTCACAAGTCAGGCGAGGTGATGGCGATGGACCATGAAGTGCTGCCGATGCTGGATGATGCTGTCCAGCTATCTCTCGATCAATACAGAGATAAGTTGTATTCCGTAGGTCTTTTTATTTCACTTTTTTCATTCGACTTCTGCTTCTTCTATCACAAATTGATAATAATTGAGTTAATACTTTTTGCGTATCAGTTGATTTCGGAAGGCAAGTTGCGCATGGATTGGAGTGAAAAGAAGATGAATAGCAACCAAGTGAAGGTGTCAACCACCACCACCACCACAACAACAAAAACGACGACTACGTCAGAAGCATCACATAATAACCATCCGACGAAGAAAAATGGAAACTCCGATCACACGAACAAAGAAGTGCAGAGACATGAAGCAAATAATGGAACAGTTCATTCCAACGTTTCAACTAAAAATGCGGAAATTCATAATGCAACAAAAAATATTAATAATGAATATGTTGAAAGTAATAAAGATGACAGTGACGATGATAGCAAAACGATTCGAAACGAAAAACCGTCTGAGAATGTTGGCAATCGGGATGACGAGAACTTGTGTGAAAAGGTGGCTTACGATGGGACAGATGGTGACGTCACCCTGCGATGTGGTGATTTCTGTGAGGAAGCAAACAGTTGCAAAAGTATTGAGGAGAAGGTGGACGTTTTTGAACAAAATCACGTTGAAGATAATAGAATAGTGGACGTTTTCGAACCGGGTTATGATAGTTTTAGCAGTTTACAAGCGCTGCTGACGCATAATAAAAATTTTCAAAGTAAAGAAATTGATAATTTTGAATCTGTTCATGACCTAACTTCCGGTCTGGAAAAATGCTCAAATAATTCCGTGTCACTAAAGAATTCGAAAGATCCGGTCCGACGTGAAGATAATATTTACCATAACCAGGCTGATGAAAACAATGACAACGACGTAACAGAGACCAGTGATGACGTGCACAGAGGAGGCAACGGACAGGATGACGTCATTGCTGTTGAGGAATGCAACCAGGAAGGTCAAAACGAAGCCATAACTAATTTCAAAAGAGCTCCCTCTGCTAAAAGCTTATCAACATCGTCCCTTTCACAAACTAAACGTACTATTAATGATAAAAATATCAAAAACACACTTCCATTGCGAAACAATTCTTCGACGAAAGATGTCGGAAAACCAAGGTGGGTCATTTCTGCTTCTAGAAGTAGGAGTGATAATAACTCAAGTGTATTTTTGAACACTAGCGGTAGCAATTATGTTAACAAGAACAATTTCAACAGCACCAACAATACCAACAACAACAAGAACAACGTTAATATAAATAAGCTCAATAATAGAAACTATAGAACAGATCTTAAAGAAAACAATTTAGAAACTGTTAACAAATTTGCAAAAGACAACGCCATATCCAATGCTAATTTGAAAGGTAAACTGCTGAAGGAAAGCAATATGTCTAAAACGACGGCAAAATCAAATAATTCAACTGCTGAAAAAAATGTTTCACAGCAAAAATCAGAAATCACTCGATCGCAAATGCATCCGATGTTGAAAACCAAAAAATATAACAGCTTCTCGAGTGAAACAAGCCACGAGAAAGACGTAAAAGGTATATATAAAATATTTTTAAAGAAATTTTTCGACATGAAATAAATTTGCAAAACGAAGTAAACGAAATAAAATAATTTTGAACTTTTTAATTTATTTTTAGTTTGCATAATTTTCATAAAATTGAATTACCATGCTTATAATGTTGTGCTCGTCAGATGGGCAGGATGTCAGATTATAGTTTGAAGAAATCGATTTTTTTCAACTAATTCAGCTTAACGCGATTTAAATTTAAACATTCAAGCAGAATATGAATATTGTCTAGCATGGATTGAGCAAAAACCATGCGATCAATTACAAAAAACTGTTTGAATTTCTGAAAATTAAATAAAATAAATTTCTTTCTTCTTTTATTTTAGATAAGTCAGGTTTGAAACCTGTAAATGGGAGTGTAAAAAGATTTTCCTACTCAAATGTTAACAAGATCAACGAAAAAAACTTTGACAAAAATGAAAAATTGATGTCTAATATGCTTACCGTCAATAGACCGAAATCAAAAACGTCAGCTTTTGGCAAGAGATCCAATGTAAATGCGGCGAGCGACGTGGTTAAAATCTAATTTTACAAATTCGTATTATTTTGGTTCAGCATTATTATTTACTATCATTTATACTTCTACTATAACTTCGAATATAACAAAATTTAACTCATTCACAGTTTCGTTAATGTTAAAAATCGCACGTCGTCATTCTGCAGTTTACCGCCAACATATCCCGACCCAATCCTCCTCGTCATACGTCTGCTCCTGCTAAATCGAAACATTTCACTGCAGCGAAAGTTGAACCGGCTTCAACTGCCAACTTGTGGCAAAAGAGAATAAGAGCTGTTTCATCACATGCTCAGCGAACTGTCAATCAAGTTAGTTATTTCTCTATCGAATTCATTTTCTTTTGTAGTTTATTCAATAAATTATTTTTAATTTCTATATATTCTCCTTATTTACAAATCTTAACTGATCTATTGTTTGTCGATGTTTTTTTTTGTACTAGAAAACTTCGAACGAGTCACCAGTAAGTAGCAAGCCACCGAGGTTTCTGCCATCGGTATGTTCAAAGTAAAAAAAACTATGAACTAAAATTTCAGTGGCTGTTGCAATTTGTTGCAAGAAAATTATATTTTTTTAGATATTTAATATTTTCAATTTAATTTAATGATATTAATTATCTTAGCGATCAATTTGATACCACGTCGAAATTATTTAATTATTCAAATGATATATAATGTATATTTTCACCAGATTAAAACGAACAACTTGATGGTTGGTAGCACTAAGGAGTGCTGGGTGACAGCAAAATCATCGGAAAAAACAAATTTATGAATAAATGTGAATATGTGATATATCAATTTTATTGTTTCAGTTCAGTTAACGTTGTTGTTTGTTTTATAAGACACCAGCTTGAAAATTTGTTAAACTTCATAATATTTCAGTTATTATTTTATAACATTTTGTTCGTACCTGTGTAACATTATTAGAATGTTTGTATATTTATATAATTAAGATCGTCGCATCACACAATGATGTTTAACACTCAATGCAATTCCATTTCGTCCAAATAGTGGTCGTTGAGTTAGTTAGTTGAATGAATAGTTTGTTAACAATGGAGCGATTGCTTTGACATCATGTTGTTAACTGGTTAGTGTAGTTTGTAATCATTATGAATGATATGTATATTCATTTTATTGTATGGTGACAGTAAATTTTAGGCAAGTTTAACGATTTAAACATCTTTGTTTGAAGTGGATAATGTATTTTGTCAAATTTGGTAACAAAAATATAATGTACCTAAACCTATCATCATGTTTATGTTCATGAAATGTAATTTTATAAATTACATTCTATTAAATTAATTTTAGATATTGTTGTTTTGTGTAGAGGCTCTAAATACGAGTTTGGTAATGAAGACCTACTAGTTGAAGCATATATGACATTGCTAAATATATTCAGTGGAAGTTTATTAATGTGAGATACAAGCAAATTTTTGTTTCTTTTTTTTATAAATATGCAATTATGAGGAATTTTCTTTGTAAAAATCGGTTAAAGAATTAAACAATTTTGTAAACGTATTTATAATTTTTTGAAAATTATTGTTTAAGTTATTATCATTAAAATTATTTATCAAATGCCTGATAAAAAGTACTTTCACTTTTTCCACAGATTTATGTTCCACAATTAATTGTATGATTATTTTATCCATTTTCAATCCAAATTTTGAATATTTTGGCTGTTTTTAAATTTGGTTTCTCTTATAGTTATGCACTTTAATATTTTTTCCGAAAGGTTGTCGTCATAATTTTTTTTATTGTGTTTTTCAATTTGCCCTAAAATACTGATCATTGCGACATAATCAACATTTTTGGATATAATTTGTAACTAACTAGCTGTTTTTCATTCACAAATAAATTATAATTTTTCTTGAAAAGAATGCATGAGTGATTTTCTTCAGAGTATCTCAATTTTTGCTGTAATATTTCAAAGTTTTTATATCTTTGCTATTAACTGATTTGCAATAATTTTTTAATTTTCATTTTTTCATTAAAAATGTTAAATTTACACAAAACTGGTAATAATTACATTACCAAATGAGAAAAAATTGTTCTATGGTCGAATCATTTTATTAAGAAAAAAATAAAATAAAGTTCCATTCAGCCGAATACTGTTTAAAATATCATAAGGTTGATATGATGAACTCCGTCACAGTATTTTTTTTTTTAGTTAAACCAAGACTTGTCGATTTCAGTAATTTCCAATCTTATTTGGTATCACTCGGATTCGGCCGTTGGTTCAAATAACAAGTTTGTGGGACCCGAAGATAAGAAATGTATTGTAGATAACATCGAGGTTGCCGATTCTTCCTTCAGTTGAACTGGTCTAAACTCATGCAACACTTGTTGCTTAAAATATCACATGACTATCAAGTTTTCATGCTTTTCAGAGCACTGGAAGAATTCCCGTTGAGTTTTCTAGAGACGCAGTTTTTTTATTAATATTCTGATAATTTTTTCATTCTAGTTTTTTGCCTTTTACTTTTGAATGAGCCATGCTTTTGAAATTGTTTTCATCACTGACTTTCTTAGTAATTTGCTATGAAAAAGTATAGGAAGAGTGTAATGACAGATTTTTGACAGAATCAAATAAACCTCATACGATTGCGTAACATGTTTATAGATTGATTTTAAACAAAACTCATTGAATTAAAAATTGTTGTTGCACCTACTCTAAAATATAACATATGTAACGATTTAAGACGAGTAAAAACGTAACAACAATGAATAACTGATTCACTTTAAAAACAACTTAAGTAAACATTTTTCACAATACCAAATGTTTATTTTATCAGTAATAAATACAAAGAAACTTAAAATGTAATAAAGCCTCATTTAATGTACTAAGTTGTAATTTTATGGCCATTGAAAGCTTTCATTCTAAAGTACATATACTTAACAACATCAAAAGACACGTTAAACAATAATTTGTTAGTTTCAAATATTTAAAAACATTTCGAAAGTGA